TTTTAGCTGCTAAGATTCGCTTACCTTGTCTAGTTAACTTTGCAGGGTCTTGCAGTGATCTTGCGTAAGCTTTTGTTCGGGTTTAATTAGATGCCCGTTCTGTGCTAAGCGAGGCCGGGTAGGAAATATGTTAGGAATGAGACCTTGAAGGAGGTCTGGTAATGAGGGGACAGTGTCGTGTCATTACTGAACAAAAAGAGAAGTATATATTTCTTAGATCTCAGGTGTGCTTGATGTGTCAGTGGTATCACTTTACACAATGAATCTTTCTCAAGGGGGCAAATTCTCAGAGATTTTTTACTTTGCGCATAAGTAGAGAGATAGTCTCACTGTTTTAATCTCACATGCATAATTCGCTTTTTAAATGATTCATATTTGACCTCTATTCCTTTCAAGCGACAAAGGTAGATATCATTTTAGTCCTGTTTACTTCAAAACGCTTAGGTTTCTTCTATCAGCTTCTTCACTCAAGCGCTAACTCGATCGACGTGTTATTCGACAATTTGTTGAGACACCATTACCATGACAACAGCTAAATTACACATGAAAAGCATTTGATTGGCTTGTAAATAGACTGCGTTACGTCACCCTGTAATTATACACTAGAGGTAAGGTTATAATGTCTTGAAAATNCGCATACGTAGAGAGATAGTCTGACCGTTTTAATCTCACTTGCATAATTCGCTTTTTAAATAATTCATATCTGACTTCTATTCCTTGCAAGCGGCAAAGGCTGATATCATGTTAGTCCTGTTTACTTCAAAACGCTTAGGTTTCTTTTATCAGCTTCTTCACTCAAGCGCTAACTCGATCGACGTATTATTCGACAATTTGTTGAGGCACCATTACCATGACAACAGCTAAATTACACATGAAAAGCATTTGATTGGCTTGTAAATAGACTGCGTTACGTCACCCTGCAATTATACACTAAAGGTAAGGTTATAATGTCTTGAAAATGGTTTTTAAAGAATGGTAAATTGTCTTCCAAAACTACATTGCTCTGAGTGTGTTAGCGCTGGTATTAAACCCTCTGAGGGTAGTTTCTTTGCAAATAGTTTAACATCCAAGATATAAATTCGTTTGGTGATATCAGTAGGGAAACAAAGTTGGCTTCAAGACCCAACTTCGTCGTCGTTTAGAACCGACCGTCCACTTGAGGTCAAAACGTGGATATTAACACGAATCATTTTTACCAGATGAGGAATCAACTCTTCATTTCTTTGTTGGATCCTTAAAGTGGCCTGAAAATTGTCCCATATCTTATGTATAAATTGTTTGAGGTTTGTTTAAAATCTGTTGTCGAAGTTGACTACCTTGATCCTTTGCATTTGGGAGTCAATCTTGCGTGATCCTCCTTTTGACAGCAAGCGCTTTTAATTTTACGGCTACTCATCAACTGCGTTTTTTTTCTATTCGGGGCTAATTCACGCCACTCAAATATTTAATCACAGCATGGCGAGTTTTGACAACCTTGTTTACACCTAACAACGTTATGCAATATACAGTTATTCTTGTCAGCGGGAAATATTTGACCTATATTCGTAATGGTAAACATTACAGTTCTATGAGCAGCACGCTTCATGTCACCGTGATAACGCACTTGCAATTGGCAGGCAGTTAACTTTATTTTGTATTGCTAGTAACAACACGTTAGGAACGACTTAACTTGGGGTTTCTGACCATTTAATTGCTGCCCCGATCGAAGAATAAGTAATATTTATCAGTCAGGGCGTCAATAGAGCATAAAATCGGTGTAAAATCATGTTCTTTGTAAGATTATAAAGATGACGAAACTTTTAAGTGGTTTCATAGTTTGGCTTGACTCACAGATGAAGTTAAATTCATCAAAAGTTGCTGAGTCTTCAAATAATTAAACGCGGGGATTAAAGATTTGAATTAAGTTTTCATTTTACTCAGGTTTACAATCTTTT